AAACAACCAAAAAAATACAGCACAAAAGCCAAACAAGAACAAACACGCAAGAAAACAGAACTATAGAACACAAAAAACCCAACAAAAGACCACAAGAAAACAAAAAACCAAACAAAAAATAAGACTAACAAACAACAACACTAACACAACAAGCTAGAACAGACACACAAACAAACAACAAAAGACAAAAAAAAACGGCTTCGCGAGGAGAGAAGGAGGGGCCCCCCAAAGCCCCCAAAGGTGTAAAATGGTTGAATCCGTGTTCTTTTTGTTTTTGTTGTTGTTTTTGTTTGCCTTCCCGGGCATCCGACGCTGGAAGACGCCACACGAGGCCCCCAACACCGCTCCAAGACGGCCCAAAAGGCCCCCAAGCGGGCCCCTAGACAGCCCTAGCCCCAAGAGACCTCCAAGACGGTCCAAGAGGGCACCGAGTCGCAGAAACACCAATGCAAGATGGCCTCCAAACTGCCCAGGATGCCTCCAAGACGCAACAAGAAGCCTCCAAGAGGCTTCTAAGAGGGCCCCAAGAGGCGTAAACTTTTTGTTTTTCTATGTTTTTGTCAAGGCTTTTGCTTTTGTTCGCCTTCCCAGGCATCCGACGCTGGAAGACGCCCCACGAGGCCCCCAACACCGCCCCAAGACGGCCCAAGAGGCCCCCAAGCGGGCCCCTAGACAGCCCCAGATGGCCCCAAGCCCCTCCCCCCGGGAGCCTGGTCCGGTAGACTTGGAGGGCCAGCCGGGGTCCATCCGCGCCGGCCGGGGAGGGTACTTTGCTCCAGCAATTCTGCCAGGAGGGCACCGAGGGCCCGAAAACGGACCAGGAGGACCCCGAGAGAACTCCAAGACAGTCCAAGAGGGCCCCGAGTCGCAGAAACAGCAATCCAGTACGCCCAAGGTGGCCTCCAGACGGCCCAGGAGGCCTCCAAGACGCCCCAAGAAGCCTTCAAGAGGCTTCCTAGGAGAGCCCCAGGAGGCGTAAAATTGTTGTTGTTCTTTGTTTTTGTTTCAAGGTCTTTGCTTTCTCGCCTTCTCGGGCATCCGACGCTGGAATACGCCCCACGAGGCCCCCAACACCGCCCCAAGACGGCCGAAGATGCCCCCAAGCGGGCCCCCAGACAGCCATAGATGGCCCCAAGACGCCCCCGAGACGCCTCCCACGAGACCCCATCAGCCATCCGAGTGGCCTCAGACCCGCAACCCAAGCACGGTGGCGGGATGTGTCGAAGGCCATTCGATCCGCCGTCCCCTGTCGATTCATCGCAGGGGTACCTGGCGTGCTGGATCCTTTCGGTTTTGGTTTTGGTTCTTTTTCCAAAAGAACTCCCCCTGGGGCTCCGGCGCGTCCCGCCAGCCACCCGGAGAGGATGCCGAAAGATCTTCCAGAGGTGGTTGCAAAGGGTTTTTCCCTTCCAGACGGCTCCAGGATGGCCCAAGATGGCGTCCAAGACGGCCAAGATGGCCTCCAAGACGGCTAAGATGGCCCCAAGATGCCTCCAAGACGGCCCAAGATGCACCCAAGACGGCCTAAGATGGCTTCAAGATAGCCCAAAACGGCCCAAGAGGCTCCCAAGAGGCCTCCAAGACGGCCCAAGAGGCCTCCAAGAGGTCCTCCAGGAAGGCCCGAAGAGGGCAAACTCATTGATTTTCCGTTGGTTTTTGAAGGATTGTGGCATTTGCGCCTTTTCGGCTTTCAGACGGCCCAAGACGGCCCCAGAGGCCCCAAAGGTCGCCCCAAGATCGCCCAAGAGGCCTCCAAGATGGCCCCCTGACGGCTCAAGAGGCCCCTCAAGACGGCCCCGAGAGGGCCCCAAGACGGTCAAGAGGCCTCGAAGACGCCCAAGATGGCCTCCAAGACGGCCAAGATGGCCCAAGATGGCCTCCAAGATGCCTCCAAGACGGCCAAGATGGCCTCCAAGACAGCTCAGATGGCCCCAAGATGCCTCCAAGACGGCCCAAAATGCACCCAAGACGGCCTTAGACGGGCCCAAGAGGCCCCCAAGAGGCCTCCAAGACGGGCCAAAGAGGCCTCCACGAGGTCCTCCAGGAAGGCCTGAAGAGGCAAACTCATTGATTTTCCGTTGGTTTTTGAAGGAGTTTGGCATTTGCGCATTTTCGGCCTTCCGACGGCTCAAGACGGCCCAAGAGGCCCCCAAGGTCGCCCCAAGATCGCCCAAGAGGCCTCCAAGATGGCCCCATGACGGCCCAAGGGGCCCGCCCCAAGAGGGCCCCAAGACGGCCCAAGAGGCCTCCAAGACGCCCTCGACGGCCTCCAAGACGGCCCTGGAGCACCCCAAAAAAGGCCCAAGTCGGCCCAGCCTCGCCCACCGTGTTCCCCGAACGCTTTCCAAACCGATTCGGGGAACACATGGTCCGATAGCTTGGCAGGCCTCTGGCCGCAACGTTCGGCCACATAGGCGTTTCCAAAAAGGCAGGGGGCGGCGGTGATTCGCCGTAGGCGTCTTCGATAATGATTCGTCGGGTGATACGCAAGTTCTCGCCCTATTCCCGATGCGTGCACGGCGAATGCTGTGAATGTCAGCCCAAGAGGCCCCGAAAAGGCCCCCATGAAGCCCCGAAAGAGCTCCAAGAAGCCCCCAAAAGGAGCACAAAAGGCCCTCAGGAGCAACACACAACAACCGGCATTTCCCCAAGGGGTCGGCGGCGTGGCGTAAGCCCAAGAGTCGTGAAACAAAAACAGAAAATCATTGATTGGGACTTCTTGAGGCTCTCCCTGGGGCTTTCTGCGAGTCTTCTTGGGCCACACTTGGACCCTTTTGAACTCCTCTCAGGCCGTGTTGGGCCACCTTGTGCCACTGTGGACCGTCTTGAAGCCATTTTGGCCCTCTAGGAAGCGTGTTGGCCATCTTGGGGCCTCCTGAGGCCGCCCGTGTCGCCGGAAGCATGGTGCCGCATTCCTGCAAGGCCCCTGCGGTCTTCCGCCGGTGTTCCGCCCGTTAGCCAGGGCCGCAGCTCGAGGGGCCCCCCTCAGACCCGCAGGGGGAAGACTCGACGGAACTCCCTTCGCAAAGGAAGGCCGGAGGAGAAGACATCTCCTGGTGAGCAAGAGAGCCGTCTTGATCTTATGTTGCATCCTCGGGGGGCATTGTCTGTCCCCTCTCGGCCCTGTCCGCGTCGAATCGGTGTCGAATCCGTGTCGGACTCGTCGGATCCGTGTCGAGCCCGTGTCGAATCCGCGTCGAATCCACGCCAGCTCCGCGACGAGTCCACATCGAGCCCGCATCGGGCACAAGAAAAGACACGAATTTGGGGGACAGGCAAGGTCCCCCGAAGATGCAACGTAATTGATCCCGCCTCGAGCGCCCACCAGCGGGCAGCTGCCAGCCCGCCTCGAGTGCTCACCAGCTTCCTTGCCATCAATGTCAATGGCATGCGCAAAAATCTCGCATGAGCTTTCATCTGAGAGAACCAGAGCTCCATGGCAGGCCTGCAGCTTCAGTTCAGTCCAGAATCTCGATGGAAGCCGACATGTCACTCTTACTGTTCGAGTTTTTCGATTGTATCTGCCGATTCCAGCCCCGAAAAAAACGCGTCGGTCTCGACGTGCCGTGCCCCCACGGGCCGTGGCCCGCGGGCCCCGGGGCTCGGCCGGGAGGCCCCCTGCGGGCCCGCGCGCGCGCGCCTGCCAGGAAGGCTGCGCCACGGGAGCACGACGCCGCCCCACTGACTACCTACCAGACCACACCAACCCAACCCGAAGACCCGAATTTGACCCGAATTTCGGGTTGGGGGGGGTACGGGTTCCATATGTGTTTTTTCAGTGTTGCCCGACCCCCCCCAACAGGAAATGGAGGGCAAATTGAAGCCTTCGGGTTGGGTTGGGGTGGTTTGGTGAGTGGTGACCCACGGCCTTTGAAGATCCCATGCCATACGGGTCCGCAGGTGAGGGCGAGGGCAGCGGTCCGGGTTCGCACAGTACCCCAGAGCACAACACACAGAAGGCAGCAACATAATTTGTACATATATATATATATAAAAATGAATAAATATTGACATACATACATACATACATACCTACCTACCTACCTACCTACCTACCTACCTACCTACATACATACATACATACCTACATACCTACATACCTACATACCTACATACCTACATACCTACATACCTACATACCTACATACATACATACATACATACATACATACATACATACATACATACATACATACATACATACATACATACATACATACATACATACCTCAATCACCATGCCTGGCCAGGGTCACCCTGGGCAGGACCAGTCAGCATCGTTTCAAGAAATCAGATCGAATCGTAAAGTGCGTCGAATCGGGGTGCATCGGCACGAAGTCGGAGTCGAATCGAATCCGCCGCTGCATCAGCGCCGTGCAAGCACCGGGCCGCATCGGATTTTCGGAGTATCGGAATCGAGCCGGATCGGGCCAGCCGATCCGATGTCGACTCGGATCGATCGGATCGAAACCGACCCTGTCCTGAGCCCTGGCATACCCTGGCCGAGGCCAGAAGTGTCTATAAACCATCCTTAGGCCTAGAATGGCAATGGCTAGGCATGGCGGAGGTGAAGAACTGCTTCTTGCGGACACGACTTCCGAAGCGTTGGAGAGCCTCTGCCCCATGAGAGGTGCGCTCTGAGTGTGCAGATTTCCAGGCCTCCTGGGTCGTAATACAACAATGCGACAGCCGCTGTTTTTCCTGAGCTTGGGCTTCTGGGAGCCAACAAACAAACAGGGGCGCAAAACCAGTCCCAAGGAGGTCGAGAACTCTGTGAGCGCACGTCGCGAAAAAAAAATTCGACCAGAGGTCTGGGTTACGAGGACCCCCCTCGCAGAGTGTATGAGGACCTCCCTCGCGGAGCCCCTGTTCAGAACGTCCCAGTCAGCCAAGAGCAGGCCAGGCCCAGGTGGCAGCCTCCCCCCTGGACACTTCACAGACCCCACCTGGGACAGGCACAATTCGGAAAGCGGAAGCAGGCGCGTGGACAAGCGGAAGGCATTAGCGGCGCCTCTCCTGCTCAGGGCTCCGCAAAGTGGCGCCACAGGACACCACAAGCAAAGCCTGGTAAGACACAACCTGCGATCAAGGCTTGCACTTCGTCGACAATGCAGCTCAGGGCTCGCTGTCCCCTGGTGGACAGGAATCGGGGAGACGAAAGACTCGGGTACGGGGGACTCGGGTTGGCCTGACGGGACCATCATGAAAATGACGACAGCCAATCTGAAATTTGACGCGAACTCCCGCTGCAAACATCCAGCGAAAACTGGACCGTCAAAATCCAGGACGCGCTGGTCAAAAAACGTCGGCAAACCCGCGTTCCGGCCTACTCGAGTCTTACGCTTCCCCGAAGGAAGCGCGACGTCCATCAGCTGGTGACTTCACAGCTGCGCGACGCCCGTGCGCTCGCGGATTCGCGAGGTCGGGGCAGGCACGGCCGCGAGAGTAAAAGGCCTAGGTAGTGACGAGGGCGGCCGCCGCGGGCAAGGACCGTCAGCCTAGTGTGACGGGCCCGCCGCCCAACAGGCTCACGGCGCGCAGAGAGGGGGCGGGGCCAGGGGGGGGGGGGCCATCCTCTCAACATTCCCCCCCTCCCCCCTCACCCCTCCCCCTCCCCCTCCCCCCTCCCCTCCCCCCTCCCCCTCCCCCTCTCCCTCGGCGGCCCTCCCCCTCCCCCTCCCACCCCCCTCCCCTCCCCCTCCTCCTCCTCCTCCTCCTCTCCTCCTCCTCCTCCTCCGCCTCTCCTCCTCCTCCTCCTCCTCCTCCTCCTCCTCCTCCTCCTCCTCCTCCTCCTCCTCCTCCTCCTCCCCTCCTCCTCCTCCTCCTCCTCCTCCTCCAAAAGCTCCTCCTCCTCCTACTCCTCCTCCTCCTCCCTCCTCCTCCTCCTCCTCCTCCCCTCCTCCTCCTCCTCCTCCTCCTCCTCCTCCTCCTCCTCTCCTCCCCCCCCCGCGCGGAACACACAAGAGAGAACAGCACAAAAAGAAAAAAACAGGCGGAAGACATTCAATACAATAAAAAGAAGAAAGCCCCAAAAAAAAAGAAAACAAAAAGCAAAATGAAAGAACAAAAAGAAGGAGGCCGCGAGACGCATGCACCGCGGCGGGGCTGCGTACGGGAGGCCGCGCGCGGGTGGAGCGCTGGAAAGGCATGCGGCCGCAACGTGCACTCAGCCTTCCCATGCACAAGAGTACCACTCTAAAGAACAAAACGGCACAAACATGAACTGTGGCTTCCCCGCGCGGGATTCCGTGGAGTTGCGCTGGGGCCCCCTCGGCGGCGGCCTCAGGCACCGCCCCTGGGCGCCATCCGCGCGCCAGGGAAGAGGAGGGCCATCGCGATCCAAGAAATCCGCGCGGAGCGCCAAACTTTTTTACTTGTGCCGTTTGCTCTTCTTTGAAAATCAGAAGCCTCCGGCCCCTCTTCTCGTACGAGAGCCGCCCCCTCCACCCCCCCCACGCACACCGCCCCCCCGCGCGCACACCGCGCAACCGTGGAGCCCTCCAGGCTTGTTCCGCAGGCGGGCAAGGCGGAGGACCTGGCCAGCTCTCGGGGACGCTGGTGGGCTGGTCTTCCACCGCCACCACCAAGAGGAGGGGGAGGAGGTGGTCCTCGTCCCCCTGCTCTTCTTCCTCCCCCTCATCCTCCGCCTCCTTCACCCCTCCAGCTCCTGGTATAAGTCGGGCCTGACCCCCCACAGGGGGATGTTCGACGAAAAATAAAACATACCCCAAAAATGCCCCAAAAAGGCCAAAAACAATACTCCAAAAATAGTTCCCAGACTATTTTTTATTTTTTTACTATTTTTGGGGTATGTTTTAATTTTCGTCGAAAATCCCCCTGTATGGGGACAGGCCCGATCTAATGCTGGTGGTGGAAAACAGGCCCGTCAGACGCGCTGACCCAGATCGGCGCCCAGCCCGGGCCGACCCAGGCCACCCCGTGCACTGGGGCCGGCGACTCGGCAGCTCCCAGGCTCGCGCAGGCGGATGGGCGGGGAGCGGGGGATGGGCCCCACGCGGCCGACTCCAGTCGGGTCGGGCGAAAGGGGGGGATAGCAAAGGGGGGGTTTGAGAATCAGCTCACGTAGCTGGTTTTCCCCGCGCCTCCCGGCGCCAGAGGCGGCTATGTATCGAGGAATGAACCCCTCGGTGAGGCCGAAACCACCTGCATGCGGCAAATTTCGTACCCCCCCTTTCCCAATCCCCCCTCTCTTGTCCGGCCCGATCCAGAGGCCCTGCATCCAACGTCAGGTCGGGCATGTCCTCCTCCAGGCGGATGCTGCACGAAAAAAAAACACCCTACACCACAAACCACAAGCTCAAGCATAGCCAAAACTGGTCGAAGGTCCCCGGACTGCTGTTCAACCAACCATCTCTTAATCTTCCTCCTGTAGAGGGGCACGCCCGACTTGGCGGCCTCCGCAGAGCGGAGGAGGAGGGGGAGGAGGAGGAGGAGGAGGAGGAGGAGGAGGAGGAGGAGGCGGAGTAAGGGGATGAGGAGGAGGAGGGGAGGAGGAGGGGCGGAGGAGGAGAGGAGGATGAGAGGGGGGAGGAGGAGGTAGGAGGGAGGAGGGGAGGAGGAGGAGGATGAGGAGGAGGAGGAGCTCCCGCCGACTATCCCCGGGCGGACCCGCCGCTCTCCGCCGAGGGCAGGGCGCGGCCGAGGCCGGGGGCCCTTTCCTGGAGAGCGCGCCCCGCGGCTTCCGGCGCCGCGTCGCCGAGGGCCCCGGTGCCTGTGAAGGGGCCCCAGGACCCACAGTAAATGCTCCTCCCCTGCCCCGTCTTCACCTTCCTCCCCCTTCACCCTTCCTCCTCCTACTCCCTTCCGCCTCCTCCTCCTCCTCCTCCTCCTCCTCCTCCTCCTGCCCCCCCCCCTCGTGTTGTCTTTCGTCATCTTCAGGGTCGGCGGCAACGGCCGTAAGGCCTTCCCAATAAATACACACACAAAAAAAAAGATTCCCCATATTTTTCCGTATGCTTTCTGGGTTTTTGTCTTCCCCCTCACTTCCCATATTTTCCCATATTTTCTGGGGAATCGACGATTTATCGTGTCTGTGTGTTTTTTTCCCTCCTGACACTGGGCTGACCTTAGGTCGGGCATGACCTCAGGCGAGTTGTCGAAGAACAGTTACAGATACACAGTAAGTACTTTGAATGTCGCTGGGGGGGCAGCGTTGTTTCCAGGGCCAGATCCCCGTACGCTCGGCGGGCGCGATTGATCGGTCAACGGCAATCCTTACCGCCGCCCTTCGCGAGAAGCTCTGATTTCAGGTTTGCGCTTGCCCACGATTGGGCTGCTCATGCTTGCTTTTGCCCTACAAAAGCATTGCCCTCTCCCCCGTCGCCCCAGAAAGACAGACGGCGTTCGCTGCCCCTCAGCGAGCTTCAAGAAGTACTTCAAAATAGTCGAAAGAGCACGAAAAATCGCTCCCCAACGATTTTGTGGCTATTCTCGAACATGCCTCTGAAGGCTGACCCCGTGTGAGCGCCGACACCCTGCCTGGAGGAGCGAACAACAACATAATAAGGCGAAGCCAGGACAGGGATACAATCGGATGAGGATACATCGAGAGCCTCTGAGATACGGCGGATCTGGAAAATGTCTCGGGCGCCGCGGCCTTCTCAGAGCACTCCGCAGCGCTCTGGAAGCGTTCTGGCGCGCCCTGAAACGGACTCATCCTCGTCCTCGCCCCGCCCGACAGAGGTCCAAACTCCCGGAGGTCCGCGCGGGCTCCCCCCTCCCCCTCCCTGGAACGCCGGACGCGCCCAGGGCGGCGCTGGAGGCGCCCCCGGCGGGTCCAGCGCCGATCCAAGGCATCTCGCGCGGACCTCCAGAGCTAGGTCGGGCGTGTCCCCCCCCCCCACAGGCGGATCTTGGGCGAACAATAGAACACACACCAACATGCTGGAGGAAAAAAACAGAGTCATCAAAACATGCCCAAAAACAAAATGCACCAACATGCTCAAAAAAAAAATCATCGGCGAATCGTATTAGGTTGGCAATGTTTGAATACTCCCCCTGTGGAGGGACAGGCCCGACGTCACCCCGGAGGGCCTGCGCCCGTGCCCTCGTCTTGCAGCTCTGCGGCCGCGCGCGCCCAGCAGAGCTCGGGCGCCCGCTGGGCCGGCCCCGGCGGCTGGCCCCCCCGGCGGGAGCGCTGGAAAGCACTTCGCGGAAGCTTCTTGCAGGCGCCCAACCCAAACTCCCTCGCGTCGTGACGGAATCACGACGGGAAGTGTTTCGCCGTTTTCGGCCTGGGGGGGCCCTTCCCGGGCCGCGGGGCCGTCAAGAAACGACGCAGGATGAAAAACCGGCCCCGGGCAAGGGGTCCAGACCTCTGGGGGTCAACGTGGTGAAAAGTCACGACGTCGGGGGTCTGGGAGCAGCGCGCCCACTCGCGCCGGTCGCCGCTGTCGGGCGCTACTTGAGCGCTACTGGGAGCTTTCTGGGCGGCATCTGGCCCCCTGTGAGCGCCAGGGGGGCGCTGCTCGCCGAGATGTGCGTGGCAGTCCAAGACACGAGCAGAAGCCTCCGCGATCTGCCTCCGCCGCCGCCGCTGCCGTCGCGCACCCCCTGCGCCCGAGCAGGCTCTGGCGCGGATGCAGGAGGGTTCCAAAGGGGGTTTTGGGGGAGGGGGGGTGGGGAGGCCCAGGCGAGCGCGCGTCGAAGGGAACCCCCCCAAGAGGAAAGCCGGGAGTGGCACGGCGCTCGCCTGGCCGCAGCTCCGCCGCGGACAGCCCGCCCGGAGCGAGAGCGGACCCCGAAGGGGTGTTCTAGGAGGGGGTTTTCCAGGAGGGGGCTTTCCACGAGGCCCCCTGGGGGGCTCCCTGGAAACCCCCCCCAAAAAAACCTCCTTTGGAACCCTCCGGGAAGGGGCCCGCCAGCGGGCCGCTCACTCCGCGCCGCCTGGAGCGCCGAAGCTCCTCGGGCGGGGAGGGGGGCTCGGAGGGCCGCCGCCCCGGCAGGGCGCCCTGTGGGCGCCAGGCGGGCGCGAAGATGAAGGGGTCGCACGCGCGATGGCACAGCGACCTTGCGCGGTGGCTCCCGCGGCCCCCAGCGTGGCACACCGCGAGGAGACGAGGGAGGTCACGCGGGGCCTCACGCGGGAAGCTGGCGCGCGAATGTCGGCGCAGTCGGCCCCGTCTTCTTCTGTCGCTCGCGCGTGGAAGGGGTCCCGCGCACGGCGAGGCGGCGGCCCCGGGGAGAGGAGGGGGGAGCGGGATGGAGGCGGGGCAGCGGGGAGGGGGGAAGGCGGCACAGGTGCAGATGATGGGCCTGTTTTCCACTACCACCAGCATAAGTTTGAGGGGGACGGGGTCCTCCTCGTGCTCCTCCTCCTCCCCCTCCTCCTCCTCCCTCCTCCTCCTCCTCCTCCTCCTCCTCCTCCTCCATCCTCCTCCTCCTCCTCCTCCTCCTTCCTTCCGCCTCCTCCTCCTCTCATCCTCCTCCTCCTCCCTCCTCCCTCCTTGTTTTCCTCCTCCTCCTCCTCCTCCTCTCCTCCTCTCCTTTTCATCCTCCTCCTCCTCTCCTCCTCCTCCTCCTCCTCCTCCTCCTTTTCTCCTCCTCGCTCCTACCGCCTCCTACTCCTCCGGGCCTCCCGCTCCTCCTCCTCCTCTTCCTCCTCCTCCTCCTCCTCCTTCCTCCTCCTCCTGTCCTCCTCCTCCTCCTCCTTTTCTCCTCCTCCTCCTCCTCCTACTCCGCCGCCTCCTCCTCCTCCTCCTCCGCCTTCCTCCTCTCCTCCTCACTCGTGCTCCTCCTCCTCCTCCTCCTCCTCCTCCTCCTCCTGCTCCTCCTCCTCCACCGCCTCCGCCTCCGCCTCCTTCTCCTCCTCCTCCTCCTCCTCCTCCCTCCTCCTCCTCCTCCTCCTCCCTCCTCCTCCTCCTCCGCCTCTCCTTCCCTCCTCCCCTCCTCCTCCTCTTTCTCCTCCTCCTCCCTCCTCGCCTCCTCCTCCTCCTCCTCCTCCGGCCTCCTCCTCCTCCTCCTCCTCCTCCTCCTCCTCCTCCTCCTCCCGTTCCCTTCCCCCTTCCCCCTCCTCCTCCTCCTCCTCCTCCTCCTCCTCCTCCTCTTCTTCTTCTTATTATTATTATTCGTCTTCTTCTTATTCTTATTATTATTCGTATTATTATTATTCTTCTTCGTCTTATTATTATTATTATTATTCTTATTCTTATTATGCTTCTTCTTCGTCTTCTTCTTATTAGTATTCTTCTTATTATTATCATTATTATTATTATTCTTATTCTTCTTCTTATTCTTCTTCTTCTTCTTCATCATCATCATCATCATCATCATCATCATCAGCATCATCATCATCATCATCATCATCATCATCATCATCATCATCATCATCATCATCATCATCATCATCATCACATCATCCTGCATCCTCATCCTCATCTCATCCTCATCCTCATCCTCATCCTCAATCCTCATCCTCGTCCTCATCCTCACATCTCATCATCATCACCATCACAGCATCAGCATCATCATCATCATCATCATCATCATCATCATCATCATCATCATCATCATCATCATCATCATCATCATCATCTTGCTCCTCCTCCTCCTCCTCCTCCTCTTTCTCCTCCTCCTCCTCCTCCTCCGCCTCCTCCTCCTCCTCTTCCTCCTCTTCCTCCTCCTCCTCCTCCTCCTCATTCCCCTCTCCAGCTTATGGTAGTGGTGGTGGAATACAGGCCCATCAGAGAAGGCGGCTTAAGTGCAGAGGAGGCAAGATGGACGGGGTAAAACAATTATGCGAACGGAATTCCCCACAGAAAGATATGAACGGTTTCGCGGGACCCATGGGGTACGACAACATCAACACGAAGGAGAAGCTCATCGAACGAGTAAGTACGCACGAAAGGGCAGACGAAAGAAAGGAGGAGGGAGGACAGGTGCTCAGGAAACGAAGCCTTGTAAATAGTACGGTTTCTTGATACCGTCCTCGCTCTGGCGGGGCCCCGCTGGAAGGGGGAGGGGCTCGAAACCATCTCTAACTAGCATGGGTTTCCGATACCCTCCGAGCTCAGGCGGGGCCTCCCTGGAGAGGTGGGAGGGGCACGAAACCATACAAATAGTATGGGTTTCCGATCCCCGCCTCGCTCAGGCGGGGCCTCCCTGGAGAGGTGGGAAGGGCACGAAACCATGTAAATAGTATGGGTTTCCGATACCCTCCTCGCTCTGGCGGGGCCTCCCTGGAGGGATGGGAAGGGCACGAAACCATGTAAATAGTATGGGTTTCCGATACCCTCCTCGCTCAGGCGGGGCCTCATTGGAGGCGTGGGAGGGCACGAATCCATGTAAATAGTATGGGCTTCCGATACCCTCCTCGCTTAGGCGGGGCCTCCCCGGAGGGCGGAAGGGCACGAAACCATGTAAATAGTATGGGTTTCCGATACCTTCATCGCTCTGGCGGGGCCTCCCTGGAGGGTAACTATGGTATGGTAGGTATGGTATGGTATGGTATGGAATGGCAGGCACGGTAGGACATGGGAGGCTGGAGTGGTAGGCGTGGTATGGATATGGGAGGCGGGAGGCGGGAGGGAGAAGGAGAGGACGTTCTGGGACAAACAAGAGCCCCACCCAGGCTGTGGGGAACAAGCTGGTCACCGACGTACACTTGCAATGATCGGAGGTCCGCGCGGGCTTCTTGGATCGGCGCGGACCCCGCTGTCTGCTGGCGCGCTCGGCGCGCGCCGAGCGCGGCGCTGGAAGCGCTGCTAAGGGCTGCTAGGGGGGTCCAGCGCCGGGTTTTGGACGCTACCAATGGCCGACCCGGCCCCGACGGACAATGTGTGAACTTTGGGCCGGTTGGGCAAACATTGTGAGATATTTGAACATTCGCTTCAAGCGGCAATAGTATCTAGACGCCTGAGATCAGTCTGCTACCAGCGCGACCCAGGACTTCCGCGCGGAACCCTAAAAGCATGTTTACGTAAGTCCTTTTTTCCCACGAGGCCCGATGATAGCTAGGACGCACATCGCGTGGAGAAGCAAGCCCGGCAGCCGAGGCCCCCCAGAACAGCGACCGACGCTCGAGCGAGACAGGGGGCCTCACACACTCGAGCGCACAACAGGATTACCCCGTCGAGCTGATTCTTCACCGCACATCCGCCCGGGAGGTAGATGGTGGGCCATGAGCTAAGAGAGCTCCAGAAGGGGCATTCACAGGCGACCTCCTCAGCGGCCAACCCTCCTGGAACACGCGGGCGAACAAAAATGCTGCAAACGCTTAGCATGTGTGTCTTGTCCCTCGAGAACGGACGACAGTTGAGTAGTCACTCGCGTGGAGGAGCACGCCTGGCAGCTCAGGCTCTCCAGAACAACGACCGGCGCTCGAGCGAAACTGGGGGCCTGCCTCACTCGAGCGCACGAGATGACTATTCCGAAGCGCTCCACCGTGCCATCTGGCCGTGGGCCTTCTATACGAGAGCTGAAGTGGTTGCCAGGCAGTCCGCAGGGCGCAGCAGCGAAACAAGACGAGAAGGCAGCGCATAGGCGCATGGGATATGGTTCGGCAAGTTTGCTAGTGTTGATGCCGCACGGATGCTTGCGTGCCTGAGAAAAAGCAAATCGATCGACCTACATTCCGGCGAGGTATACTTTCACAAGGCAGGTGGATGGTCAGGCGCCAGGGATAAAGGCCTCCTGGATGGGGTCGGAGTAGATGGGGTCGGAGGACCGCGCCGCATCGCCGATACATCGGCGATACATCGGCGATGCATCGGCGATGCATCGGCGATACACCGGCGATGAGGCGTCGACGTCGGCGATGTATCGGCGACGTCGGCGTAGAGAAAATCGGACTCCGCATCGAGCCGCATCGTCGATGCATCGGCGATGCGGCGCGATCCTCCGACCCCATCTACTCCGACCCCATCTCGGAGGCCTAGAAGGGAGCCCCCCAATCACAATAGTCGGTGATGCGCTACCGTGTCCTTAGGGCTGCGGCCACGCATACAAACGAGGGCACGTCCCAGAGGAGGCTGACATTGGGGCCCTCCACCACGCACAGAGCCTGTAGCTCCCGACAGAGATCGGCCGGACTGGACGCCATCTTACAGAACTGATCTGCTACATTAACAGAGCGTTGATCCGGGGGGGACAAGTCAGGGGGGCCCAAGGGCGCTGTTCGGGAGCGGACAAGCGAAAAGAGACAGCGCAAAAAAACAAGGGCACGGAGAGGCGATCCAGACTGCGGCCAGGATGCCCGCACGGATGAGCCCCCGAATCCTGCGGACCAGAGCCCAGAGATCGCGACGTGGCCGATGACGCGCATCAGTTTCAACAACGAAAACCCTTCCTCAGAGCAGCGACGCAGCGCCAAGTCTTGGCGAAATTGCGTGACCTACTTAAGAGCTCGATGGCGAGCCACTGGCCCGAACGCGCGGCGCGCCGCAAGGCATCGCCAAGATCAGCGAGCCGATGTCGCGCGCCGCCCCCCGCCCCAGACGTTGCGCCTCGTCGGGGGCCTTCTGAAGCCAGGCGGGAAACAGGTCGCTCTTCTCTCGCCGACGGAGGGGCGACGGGCCGCGGGTCGAGCGGCCAGACGCCGGCGCGGCCAGCTCGGAACCGAGACAGCGGGGCCCCCGCCCAGCGGCTCGTCGAACTCCCCGGTCTCGGACGGGGTCGCGTTCTCCGACGCGGTCAGCTGCAGCGCCCACAGGCCCATCCGAGCGGGCCCCCCCGCGCGGGGCGGCCGGGCAGCGCCCCCGGCGCGGGGGCGGAGCAACTCGGGCGGCCGAGCGTCGAGCACCGAGCACACTAGAGGTCGCCGCCGCTGCCGGCCACTGACCCGCTCCCAGAGGGCGGGCCGCGATCGGGCCGGCGAGCGGCCACGGCGGGGGCCGCTCGGGGCAGCTCGGGGGCCCCCTTGGATCACGCTGCCCCCACCGTGCGCAAAGACCACATCGCAGCAGTA